GACAGGTCATTTGTATATGATTTATATGTTGTGAAACTAATGCTGATCATTTCGTAAAATCGAATACCCGCTATGTTCATTTAAACAACTGCAATAATTTTCCAATTATTTTTGTTACACACTGTATAATAATGCAACCAATAACATTTTTCATTTCTCTATATTTATGAATCAGTGTACTGAGGACTTTTTTCTTCGAATTATATAAAGGTGGTGGTGACCTTTTCCATTTTCTATTAATAGAATCTATGGTGAGGCGGTCACATTCAATAGAGTTTTCTCAGTCCTGTACCTATAAGTTGATTCTTCACACTAAGATATCCTTTTATATCTGGCTTTTTATCTGAACCCTTCCTTGAATTACAATTTTGCGTGCTTTCACTGGAGCTATAATCCCTTAAATACATATATTCAAAGTAAGAATGAATTTGAGAGAAATTCCCAAAAGACACAAATTTCTTACTACTCTACCACAAACTCATCTATATTGTGAAAATCAGCCTTTTTATATCATTAACAACATCATGTTTCCATGTTGATTCCATGACTTGCTTATTCTTTCTCTTGTAAAGAAAATTTTTATTGACAGTCATTCTATATTAAAAAATAAAATTTAATATAAAAGGGGTTGAAGCAATATATAAAAAATAGAAAATCTTATATGGCCTTTATAAATTCATTTACGACCTCAAAATCCAAAAGATATTTTTCTTCAAGATCAGAGGGGTATGGTGGAATAACTTTTAATATGAGTCTTTGTCGTATAAAGTTTCTCAAGTCCTGAATTATTCTTTTATCCCATAGCAATTTACACAGTTGTTGTTTAGAAACTGATTTCCAAAGATCCACCTCAACAAGGGCTTTTTTAATTTGTTTAGAAAGCCTCTTCTTGGTGATGTCGATTATTCCTGAAAACAAAACATTGTTTTCAGTTATATCTGTGCATAACGCAACATGTTGACTGATAATATGAACAACTGAGTCCAAGCTGTCGATAGTCATCTATTGTTGATAGTCAATTGTTAGAAAATTTCCTTGAGTCAAAAAAAACTATATTGTGACATAAAATAAGTATTTTGATTTCTTACTTTACAAAGACAACCTTTCATTTGGTTATGAGATCAAAATAGTGATCATTTGGGAGAAGATCTAACCAACCAAAACAAAGACATTCTGAGGTAACAAGCCCCCCAAAATATACCAGAGTTCCAAATAATTCCCAGAACTTTTTCACATTATCGTTTATTTTCTGTAAAGGTAAAATACTAATTTGTGAGATAATATCATAAAACTTATTCGGATAAATGTATTTTCAACCCCATAAAAATCAGACGTTAATTTTCGATGTAGGTTTCTTATATATTGTTGGACAGTTGCACCCCACCAATAAACCAAAATTATCTGTGCATAACGCAACATGTTGACTGATAATATGAACAACTGAGTCCAAGCTGTCGATAGTCATCTATTGTTGATAGTCAATTGTTAGAAAATTTCCTTGAGTCAAAAAAAACTATATTGTGACATAAAATAAGTATTTTCTTACTTTACAAAGACAACCTTTCATTTGGTTATGAGATCAAAATAGTGATCATTTGGGAGAAGATCTAACCAACCAAAACAAAGACATTCTGAGGTAACAAGCCCCCTAAAATATACCAGAGTTCCAAATAATTCCCAGAACTTTTTCACATTATCGTTTATTTTCTGTAAAGGTTAAATACTAATGTGTGAGATAATATCATAAAACTTATTTGGGTAATTGTATTTT